ATCCACATGCTTTGAAAAATCTAGACTTTAGCAATGGTTCACTCTAAGCAACATAAACTGGCAATGTACATGAGTATGTAGACACCAGGTATGTAATATCCAAAGTCCTACAACTGTATTCACTGGGAAGTAAATTTTCAAGCCTTTCACAGTTGCCACACCCACCTTCTATACGTTGCCTTGAGATCTACAATGTACATGTAGTTAGTTGACACAAGTGTATATAGTCGTTAGAAAGAGCTCAGTTTACACTATAGTCTATCAATGGTTAATTTGAAATTGGCATGCAGTTTTCTTCAGTGTACATGTAAATTACATATTTTTGTCTGCTTTATTGATTATAGCACTTAGTGGTTTCTTACCTGTATATGCTATAATTAGAGAGACAGTTAAGTTGTATTTAGGTCTTACTTTAATACTTTAGTTAATTATGTATTACGTGTATTTTAAAAATCATATTTGAATGGTTTAATGAATTTTATAAGCTTAACTTGTTGCCTGGATTGTGAAAGGCAAAATGGCTTTCTTTTAAGTGCCATATTGTTTCAGCAATGCATCTCTTCAGGAAACATGCTGAAATACCTTCATAAAGCTCAGCTGATGTATGGTCATAAATGATAACAGATGAAGAATTTGAAAGGAAATAAAAAATAAACTATAAGTGAAAAGATAATGACATGAAATTATGCATATAAGAAAAATATGACTATTCTAGTGGATTTCCAGGAAGAGTTGAAAGGTATGTACATATTTTCATTTGTTAATTTTAAACATTTCATTGCACTGTATGTTGATGATAGTGAATAGAGTTAGTGATATAGTAGAGAAAATGGAAAATATAAATATTTACCTTAAAAAACTTTTATTTTTTTATTTACGAGATTCTAGGGATTATACAAATGAAATGTGAAAACTGTAAAGATAAAAAATAGTACTTTTATACTTCATATAAAACTCACCTTGCAGGTGAACTAGAGTGTGAGTGCAAATAATTACATTAAATAAAAATTTTTTTATTAGAAAATATTTCTGAAACTACATACTTTTATGAGCTTTACTGTCAAATTGTAAACAGTTTCTTCCATTAGTTTGTTTTAGAATGAAACATAATGAGGGCAACATTTCCTACTAAAAAAGTTAGTAGCCAGTAGTCATAGGGGTGGTATAGCCATTCCTATACAACCAAATTGGAATATTACTAAAGAGAAAATTGCTTTACTGTTGCTATATAAAGGTAAACAAGCACGTTGAATCAACTGTTTAGGTGAGCTTTGTCATCAAATCTACCCATAAGCTGAATTAACTCTTTCTGACTGGAGAGGTGTCACTAATATCCTATGTTTTATATTTTTTCACAGAGGAAATACTTAATAAAACTACATGAAACATAGAACAAACTTAATAAATGGTATCTAGTTTTGGTTTATGAAATGTATGTTATTTTAGTTTTCCAAAAAATATGATGGGAAGTTTCTAAAATTATGTTATTAAAAACAGTCTTGGGCTCTTTACCTTAAGAAAGACATTGAATTGTTGGAAAGGGATCAGAGAAGGATTACTAGAATGGTGCCTGGGATGGAGAGGTTGTCATACAAGGAGAGGCTGAGTTAGGGAGGATCTGATTGAGGTGTTTAAGATTGTAAATTTTAGCAAGGTAGGAGTCATCTTCAGCTAAGACAGTTTCATTTTTCTAACAGGGTGGTTGGCCTTTGGAATGGGTTACCTTCGGATGTTGGCAGTAAATTTGAGTGAGTTTAAGAAAAAGCTTGATAAGTATATGAATGATATGGGCTGGCTTTAAGATTTTTATTTTAATTTAGTTTAGAGGATGGAACAGCCGAGATGGACCAATAGGTCCCATGTTGTCCCAAAACATTATGTTATGTTCTTATGTTAATGCTGATCAGAAAGTTCTATTTTATATATCATATTAACATATTTCTTTTGATATCTTATTTTACCAATTGCAGTAGTCACCATCATAAGAAATACTGCAAACACTGACACAGATGTATTGGTGATCTTGAACTTGGGATTTCAAAATGGTGCAAGAGCAGGATAGGTAATACTTTTGCTAACAGTATTTGTGGGCAAAATCTGTTTATATCTAATAAATATACTTGTAAGTTCTTTTATTTATTATGTTGTTTAAATACAATAAACTTGACAATATTAAAAAAAAATTACAAATTAACTCATCACATAATTTTAGCCGTTGCCTACTGTACTCTATAAACTTTACTAGGCTTATCTGATGTCTTATCATACAAGAACATTTTAGTATTTTTTATACAAATAATTTGACAAGAAAGCAATTTCAGAAATGAAATGAATATCTAAGGAAACTATTAAAAATTATCCAGGTATATGATTTATTCTTAAATGTTCTAAAATTCCCATTAGATCCCTTTGATCTTCTCTGCAGGAGCTAGGTTTTATTACTTTCCCTTGGAATAATAAATTGCTTCTCACACCCCGTTATTCACTCTATATTGATGTAAATAGTTTATAATCTGCTCTATGCAATAGTATGCAAACTTTTACCAGAAAAAGTTGGGAACATGAGGCTGTACTAACAAAATCACAGAAAGAGAATGAGAATTGTATGAAAAATAAAACATTAATAATTATATTCACAAGTGATGATAATTTCTTTTGCAAATATAACTATTCTAAAAACACCAATATATGTGTTGTTTACAGGTGAGGCTCTTTGGAATTGTCAAAATATAAGCTTGAACATTTTTTATATTTTTCTTTGTGAATTACATTAAATTAATGTTACAAAGTGAAAAAATCTCAAATCTAAAATATTTTTGAGTCAAAAATACTTGAAATAAAGATGTCAAATATTATGTAGATATCATAAATGTTTTGAGGTTATACTAGATTCACACTAGGTGACTCCTAACTTGCATACAAGAACACTTAAATTTGAAATATAATTTTTTAACATTAAGAACCATGTGCCAAATGAAAGTAATGAGCATATAAGTGAAGAACAAGTTACGTTTAAAGGAACTATGTGTAAATGAAAGTCAATTTTGATCAAGGGACTTCAACCAAGGTTAAATATGCAAGTAGTGCAGTTTGTTTGTCATTGTTTTATTGTTTATTATAATAGTTAAATTAGGTACTTTAATTCTGAAGTTGTTTATTACTTCATATTGTTTTCATCTTATTTCTGTTGTTAATATTTCATTTGATGACTTCAATGTTTGGAAGTAAATCATACTCTTTGGTTACATTTATAAAAGGAAGTAAATAAAATCATGTAACCTTAAATAATCATTTACCAGTTTACAGAAAAATCTGTTGCTTAACGAACTACAAAACAGAAAAACAAAAGAGCATTGAAAGTGAGTATGCATATATGAAATTTAACACATATATATATGTGAAAGCTCCTCACAACAAAGATTAAAAACTTTGTTTCTAAAGTGTATCTATCAATCATAGATAAGAATAGTCAAAGTGAAAATTTCTGGAAAGCTACTGAGGCTGATGTGGGCAGGGGTCCAGTGGTGATGGCCTCTGAAAACTTCAGGGGTTTTAACACTTAAAATTGCATTATTTGGCACACCTGACACCTTCTACACAGGTTTTAATGAAACTAACCCTTTTATTCAGAAATAAGTGTCCCTATTAATTTCAGAGGATTTTACAACTGACTTTTTCTAACCATTTCCATTCCAAAGGGTTTTTTAAGCCACCATCAATTTTGTCCTTCATATATGCTTCATTATCTCTAATTTCAGTCTTCAAATTTAGAGAGATACATTAATAATTAGAGACCAAATTAAGATGCAGAAATATGCATATAGGAGAGAAACAATGAGAAGTCAAGAAATAAAATATGTAGAAGATGTACTGAAAAAAAAGATGAGGCAATGGTACATATACAAAAATGTGAAGTGATGTAAAAATAAGAAAGACTGAAAGCAGAAAGGAAAATGAAAGATGAGGAAAGGAAAATAAGAAAATATGCAGGTATATTGAAGAATTTGTAAAAGTTTTTTTTGTTTGTTGTTAAACATAAAGCTACATAATGGGCTATTCATGCTGTGCTGATCATGGGTATCAAAACCTGGTTTTGAGCAATATAAGCTCTCAGACCTACTATTAAGCCACTGGGAGGAATTAGTAAAAGGACTAAAATAGTAATAAATAAGTAAAATAAAAAATTAATATTAACAAATGTAAATAATGGTATTAAATTACATGAAAAATGTATGTACAAAATATACTCTTTTTTTTTTTTAATATGATGAATACATTACAGAAAATTATCTATGCCTACAAAAAATAAATTCATGTTCATGTAGAAGCCACAAATTTCAAATAAAATGCTATAACCAAGACAGTAAGAATGTCTAACCATAGTTAGGCTGTATTGTTTAGTGCTAAAGATAACTAGTGATGGTTTTAAACATTTAGATTTCTCTCAGTTTATTGAACTTAGATCTTATCAGTATTTGAACTCCACAGCAGTCATGCCTGTGTATTTTTTGCAAACCAATATCTTGTTGGTAGAAGGTTGTTGAATGATAAATTATATGGGAAGACACAGTAAACCACATTAATTGTGAGCTAGGTGGGACTTTCAAGACTGGTAGTATGCAAAAAAATTATGCATATAGAGGGCAGCAATGAATGAGAAAAGCTATTGTATGAAAAGTGGTAAGATATCGTATTGGAAGTAAAGCTGTAATCAGTACAGAAGTGAATGGCATAATGTTTCTGTAGTCAACAGTGGTATCAGGAGTCTGATAAGGTAGTTTTTTTGCATATTTTACCCAGTTTTCTTTCTTTAATCAATTTAGAAACAATGCAAAACCCATTGAAGATGTATGTAAAAATTCTAAAGTTTTCATTTGTTTGGTAACACTTTGCAATTTTAGCAACTGACCATTACGCAAGTTTAAATGTAAAGTTTAGGGGATAAAAAATCATCATGTCTTATTTTACCTTATGAATTACCTGAATTCATTATACCTTACCTTTAACCCAGTGATGTTTTATGGATGAATTACCAGCTCTGGAAAGGAATTTGCAAGAGATTCCTTTGTCAGCTTTTCTAAAACAGCCATGGTCAGCACAAACTCCACATGAATCACAGTACCAACCATCCACAATCAGTCCTTCACAAACATTGCAGTATGCAGTGTGGGATAAAATATCCACTTGGCACCACCTGTGCCCTTTACGAATGTCTCGAGCAGGAACTTCGTAATGGCGTTGTCGACGAGAAATTCTCCACACTACCAAAGCTAGTACCATAAAAGCCCCAGCAAACAAGCTAACCTACATAGTAATTTAAATGATATGATTATAGATAAACAATGATAAATTAAAAGTTTAATTTGTTTTTAGAAAATATAATAACTAAACCATTGAATACAGAGTTTCTACAATACAGGTTACAGAATACATGCCACAAGACACCTCCAACCAAAGTTAAAAAAATGGTTTTATGGTACAGTCTAAACTGCAACATTAAAAATTATTAGTAAATGCAGGTTAATTAGTTTAATAAAACATACTCGATTAAATTGTTGACAGTTGAATGCTGATATATAAGTCTTTTTTGAAAAACTAATTTAACATTGGTGACAAAGTACATCTGTATCTATTTCTTAATGAAATAGACTTGCTTTCAGGAGTGAAGTTATCTTAGTTGAAAGTAAGGTTTTATATGGAATTTTGGTTTCCTTAATACATGAGGATATCAACATGTTGAAAAGAATGTAAAGATTGGATACCAGAATGATGTAATTTACATCATTTAAATTGTGAGAAGAGAGTTATGGTTTCGAAAATTGTTTTCTCTTAAGTGCAGTAGACGTATAACAGACTTGTTTCTGGTGCTCAAAATTGTTAGTGTTTGAGCAAACAGGCTTTTTATATTAGGTTGTCTGCTTTAGTGGTGTAATAAAATGGTAGAAAATATGAACTTCAAAATTTGGGGTAAAGGGTTGATGCTTTGGAAACATAGTACAGACAAGTCTTGGAACAATTTTATTTTCGTTAAGAGCTTGTACAATGGTTTAGTTAAATATGTAGTTTATATTGTTAATCTGAATGCTTTTAAAACTGTTTATAGGAATGAATTGAACATGAAAAGCTACATTCAAGTTGGAGTAGGGATGACCTTAATGGTTTAAATAGCCTTCTCTCTCCTTGCCTTTACTTATGTTTCTTAATCAAATTTGCTATCAAATTTCACAATAAAAGTGACTACAGTTCCATCTCAATACTTCACATACTTGAAATGTGCAAGTGTAGTTTTGAAATAAACAGATACAGATAGTTACATTTAGGACCTCCTCAATAAAATAAAAAGATTTCACAAATACCATGTTAGCAAGGACAAGTTTCAAACCTGGTATGTTGTAGCCATTTCTTCATTTGTCAACAACCACATTTTCACAGAGAAGCTTTCTTCTGTAAGCCGACCTTTGCTATACATCTACAAAGAAACATAAAAATAAATTACATAATCACTGGTAAAAGTGGATTATTTTATTAATCAAAGGTAAATAGATATCTAAATACATGCTCTAGCTATGACTAAACATCTGGTTAGTTAAAAAGAAAACATTATTATCTAACTGCTTACAAAATACAAAAGAATAAACAATTTGTACAGAAATGATGAAACTACATTTTTTAAATTGAGTAAGTATTTAAGAGGTTTAATATGTACAGTATTACATGCACGATTCAAAATGTCAGGTTCAGTTCTGTATCTTGTTTTAAAATGCATGCTAAAGCCAATCACTTTCATATGCAGGCAGATGCATAATTTTAGCTATGCCTGCATGTACTGATCATAGCAACATCTAAACAGCTTTATACATGAAACACATTAGTCATGCCTATTGGAATGGACTTAGACACATCTTGTACATTTTGCATACAGGTGCTACTTAAAGTACTGTGGATTTCCTATTGAATATTTGTAGCATATTACAGAAGCTTGAGAGGTTAGTAAAGCAATTGTTAGTGTTATAAATATCTTCTTCAGTTGAAAATACACAAAACTGATTATGTATTAGAAGCATAATTAACAAACTCTTAAGGCAGCAATGTTCAGTTAATTATGATAAATTTGTTTGAACATTCAATAAAGATCAATTGTGCATAAAATTGTTTAATATAAAAGACAATTAACCTACTGACATGAATGTATAATGTACTTTCTGAAATTATTTGTTACTACCTTTTCATAAAATTTTGAATGCTACTACAGCGTGCAGTCTACAAAGATATTTACACTATAGAATGTGGTCTACACAGATACTGTCAGCATCACCATTTTAATGATTCATTAAAACATAATTTCTTGCAAATTAATTTATACCTATCCATGTTTTTGTTCAGCAGATAATAATCATTTAATAAGTTGTGTTCCAAAAGAGTACTTTAAATTTAGGTTATAATTTTGCTGGTTTGCATTGTTGGAATTTATTTCATTGCGATTATATTTGCTTCAAAAATGTTATGTAATGGTATTTTGTACTTTATTAGGTTAAAATATTATTTATAATAAATAGCACCAATTGCAAATAAATGAAAGTTAAAACAGTGATGATGATAGTATCTACCACATGCTATAGTAGCACCGAATTTTGTGCTCATCCTACTTTTATTGCTAGAATTTGCTTTCATGAACTAAATACTTATAAGTAAAACACAAGTATCTAAAAGTTTACAACCTGATAAAAGGCAATAAAAATAAATGTCATATTTATACAGTTATTGTTTACCAATTTACCAACAGAATAAGCTGTGTTTAAAGAAGTTGAAATACAATGCATATGCATATTTAGCATTGAATCTTGGAAAGCTTTCTAAATAATATACAAAAAAAGGGATAACACAAAAATAGACAAGAATAAAATTAATTCAAAACTTTACCATCAAGGAAAAAGAAAAATGAAAGATAGGTACCATGGCACACTGATGTTGTATATGTTTTATGTTCATATACGCGTACAGTATCAAATGCGAATATTTAGTTTAATTCTACATTAAAGAAAGTAAGAATGACAATTTTTAACTGAAAAACTGGACTTTAAACAGTATATTTATATTGAGAACAGAATTAAATGCTGTTTTTCATTCTTTTAGTTTGCAATAGTTAATGAAAAAATTATATTAACTAACATCATAAAAAGGTAGACAATGCTCTTAGCTTAGAAAAGTTTATTTTTGGTAAGTTTACACAGTGACAGATCATAATTATATATTTTTCAGTCTATATTTTCATCATTATCAATTAGTTTTTGATTGTGAAAAAAAAAAGGTGAGAAAAAATCATGACCAGATATTTACTTACTATTGCTATTCTAATGATAAAAGGAATATATACTAAAATAGGCTAATAGAAAGCTTCATGTAATGCCTAAATTTTAACACACTGTACCGTTCAGTGATAAAACATATAGGCCACATTTTGAAACATACAAATTTCTTCCAGCTTAGTTAATTTTCATATTGTAATTATTTGTTACATATCTTTCCTGAGTCAGTAAAACAGGTATTTTGAAACACAACTAATGAGGAACATATTTTGTATTCAAGATTAAAGTTTTTTTTCTGAATCTCTTACATTTGCCACAACACATTTACTTAATTTTATCCTTTTCAGTGTGGTAAAACAATTTTGCATACTAAGATATTTTTTCCCCCATCAACAAAATGTTTTAAACAGTAACATTTTCCAAGGTCTCTTTAACTTTGTAATGGCATAGTTTCCCATTGGAAAGATTGTGCTTCTTCCCCTACCACCAAAGGGCATTTTTCCAATTAAACTGTTCTTGTTATTTAAATATATAAAGAGTCTTATTTATGCATTGTATGTTTTGTAGCAGTGGAAAAACTTTTACAAATCCAGGTGGAACAGAACTAAGTTTATAGATGACATCAGCTGTGAAACATAATGTCAAAGATGGACACCAGACTGAAACCGTGTAGTTATTTCCCCAATGCTACTGATGCCACATTTCTATTATCAATACGGCAGTATGAGACACTTCTACATATTTTACAGCTTTTTCAAATATTTAAATCACAAAAAATTCATTCTTTGAATGCACAAGGTTATGGAAATTTTTTTCATTGGAGTTGGGCATCAAAATCTTTAATAACTATGACTAAACTTAAGTTGAATTTGAATATAATCACTTTCACACAAAAATACTGAGCCCCAGTTTTATGTACATGTAAATTTTTCGATCATATAAGTTCTTTTCTAATTGAAATAAATATACAGATGCTTATGGTTGCTAATCTTTGAACAAAATTTCACTTGCTGGCACATATTTGCAAGTTATTTCCATTAATACTATTAAGGGTTTGTTTGGGTTTAATTCACTGGTCTGATGAAAAATTGAGAGTAGCATAAAAAATTTTTGACTTATGAATCAAAAGGTGTAACTAATTTTATGAAATGCTTCAAATTTGTGGGTACTCAAAGTATTTAAAAATATTTTTTGGACATAGAGCAGTAACCTGAAAATTGAACTTAAAATCCGATAATGTCCATTTTTTATTTTACAATAAAGAAAAATATTTATTGCAAATATATTTTGAAATGGATTTACGTTATCCACACTGCTAATCTGTTGAGCTAACCAAGCAAAAGAAAATATCTTTTAAAATTGCTCCTTTTGTTAAAATAAGTTGGGCAGATAACAGAAGGTAGGAAACAGGGTTGTATTTTGGAGACATAACACTTAAAGAGAACAAGAGGCCTGCTGGACCACTGAGGCTGTACCATCAACTAAACTAAACTATAAAAAAACAACTCAAGTTCAGCTTTTAAAAATTTAAATACTTACCAAGCCTTTGTTTAAACTCCCATAAATTTATTTCATCCAATACACCTGAATGCAATCCATTCTAAAGTCTATATACCCTGCTGGAAAAGTAAAACTGTCTTAGCTGAAGATCACTCCTACCCTTCCAAAACTTATATTTTTGTTCCCTTGCCCAACCATTCAGATCATTAAGTACAAAAAAATATGATGCATTAACACTATCTATTCCCTTAGCAATCTTAAAAACCTCAATCAGATCCTTTCTAGCACTTCTTTTCTTCAAGAGAAAAATTCAGAAATCGTAGCTTTTCCTTGTTTTACAACCTTTTAATAACAGACATAATACTAATAGCTCTCCTTTCAAACCTTTCCAACAATTCAATGTCCTTCTTAATATAAGGAGACCAAGACTGAACACAATACTTCAAAGTTAACATTTTCTAAATTGAAAAGGATTTCCAATACATACTTTCCCCCCTCTCTCACATAATAGCTTTTCTTGATTAGCACTGCTCTCTATTGATGCAAATTTTCAATGCTCACCACTAGCCTTCCACCTCCTGCTTCTGCATACCCACATGCAAATGATTATGCAGCACCAGATCCACCAGATAGTAGGAAGAGTGACCGCAAACCTGGGGTGCATCTCCAGTCCAAAACCTGATGGTACTGGGTATTTTCAAGCCTATCTGCAGTAGGAGAATGGATACTGCCCAGAACACGTGTGAGGATTTACGTAGCTGGGCCATCTCCAACCAGTATTTGACACCCCGGGAACTGGATCCAGAAAATGGTAGGTAAGGGGAATATCTCAGCCTGAGGGGCAAACTGTCATAAATGTGTGAAATGGAAGATAATGAAATGCAAGAAAAAGTGAAATTACCTTCTCTAGCAAAAGAAGTCTTGAGCAAAAATGAATGGTCAGGGAAGAGGAGAACATAGGAACTGTGGAACAATACATGATAAGCATCAGTCAAAGATCTCAGGTCACTGCCAGCCACAAGCCAATAACATAAGGAATATGGATTTTAATGAAAGGTTCACACGGAGGATGAGTGAGAGCGTGAAGGCGAACATTGAGATTCCAGTCCAGGATAGACACAGGGCAGGGAGGACAGGAAAATGAATGAAATAACAAAGACAATGCCTGAGAGTTGAAGACAGAGGAAAACTCAGTAAATCTGAACATGCAAGATAATGCAGCTCAATAACCAGCAATCGAGGAAACTAACAGTCCCCCATCAAAGAGCCAGGTAAAAAATGCAGTCAACTGTGGTAGGGAAGGTTGTGAAGGACAATATCCAAGGCAGAGTGACCAACAGCAGAAAGCACACCATTTATGCTGATAAACTGCCAACGAGAAAGGACGTTCAGGGTGGGCAATCAATGATACAACACACCTGGAAAATTCAGATTGTCTGGCAAGGAACTGGACAAAAGCCACATGTGAAGCCAGAAGGTGGGAATGGACAGATAACTCGTGTCTGATTGAGGTTGACAAAGGAAGGGGAGGTGACACTGAAAGCCTGCACAGAAGTGGAAACTATATCTGAGCAGGCCAAACTGGAATCACTTGGAGCATACGACATGGAGTGGTCTGAATTGATGAAAAGAAGACGACGAATAGGAGGATATGCATACAGGTAATCTGGATTTTCAAGTAACATTTTACAAAGTGCCATACAAAAGGCTTGTTAAAAAATTTGTTTCTATAGGTGTGAGGTATAAGTTGATTCATTGGAAATAAGAATGGCTAGATGGAAAAAATCAGTGAGTTGTGATAAATGGAGTAACAAGTGTGATAACTCAGGGTCAGTGTTAGGACCTTTACTCTTTTTAAGTTTACATAAATGACACAGATGGAAGAATGTTGAATAAATTGCTTAAATCTGCTGACAATATTAAGGTTTTGGATGTTGCTGAGTGCGAGGAGCATACTGCTGCTTTACAAGAAAAAGGAGTTAGATTATTTAGTAGGTGGCTTTTAATTATAACAACTGCAAGATAATGAATGTGGGTTACTATAGGTTAAATGATAAGTATAATTTTGATGGGAATAATCTAAATCGTGTTATAGAAGAAAATATTTTTGTTGTTTTGGTTGATCAGTCTCTTAAGCCATCCAAGTTGTTGCTAGTGGTAGGGCAAATAGGAGTTTTGATTGTATATACAGAAGTATTGAATATACATCTAAGAAGGTCATAATTTCATTGAATAGGTTACTGATTAGGTCTCACTTGGAATATGGTGTTCATTTGTGGGCTCCTTATCTTAAAAAGGACACTGAATTGTTGGAAAACTTTGGAGGAGTGCTACTAGGATGATACCTGGGATGGAAAGGTTGTTATTAGAGGCCATGTTAAGATCTCTTGAAATTGCTTTCTGTTGAAAAAAGTTAGAGGGGTATGATTGAGGTTTTTAAGACTGTTAAGGGAACTGACTGTGTCTAAGCATAATTTTTTTTAATGTAATGGTGAGAATTGTAGGACAAGGGGGCACAAATACAATTTTTGGTGGGGTAGTAGCAATTTTCAGCCAAGACAGTTTTTTTTTTAACAGTGTTCATGGCCTTTGGAATGGGTTGCTTTCATACTTGATGGTTATAATGAATTTAAAGGAGTTTATGAAAAAGTTTGATAAAAAAGTTTTTGCTTTTAGATTTAGTTCAGTGGATGGGACAGCCTAGGTGGACCAACAGAGCCCTATGTCTTTAACTTTTTTGTTATAATAACCCAAATGCAATACTATATACTTAACATAATTAAATGGCATTTAAAAAATATATTTGTCCAACATATCAAGTAATCCAGTTATTCTGTAATACATCAAAATTCTCAATACAGCTACAAATACTCTGTAGTTTAATGTCATCAGCAGACTACTGAATTACTAATTACTATCAATATCATTAATGTAAATAAGCAAAAGCGAAATACCAACCAATGAAGCCTAAGGCATTCCACTAATAACAAGGGTTCAGGTTGAATGGACTCCATTAATAACTTTTGCTTTCTTTCATCTAATCACCTACAACCCAACTAACTAGTCTTTTCAAAATGTCTACCAATGTGATATTCTAAATACTTTGTATGGCACCTTATCAAATGCTTTTTGAATATATAAATACACCAAGTCCACATATTTCCCATCTTCTTGTCAAAAAATTAAGAATGATAACAGATTAGTAAGTCAAGATTTCCCTTTGATGAACTTATGTTGGCTTTATGATATATTTCATTACAAAAAGAAAGGCTAGCTGGCCTATAACTCCAAGGATAATAATTATCACCCCTTTTTAAAGTAGGAGCAACATTACCAACCCTCCAATACCTAGACATTTGCTCACTATTTATTTACCTACCAAAAATAAAAGCAACAGGCTTGTAAAAAACTGATGTTAGGCCTTCTTTGAAACCCTGAGAAAAACACTGTCTGATAATTGTTCTTTACCTATTTTTAATCTTTCAATCTTTTTTACTTACTACCAAGGGATTAATATCTATATGATTTAGGTCAATTATGTTTCCCTTAAGTGCTCGGGGTAAGAAATATTGCTAATATTCTCTTTTTAAAAACATATTGAGAAAAATCAAAAGGAAATACACAATAGCTGCAGCACTTGAAATTGTTTTAGGCAGGATTAGAGTAAATTAAGCTACAAGACATTTTTGTTTTTCCTTTTTTGTGAGCTATATTTTAGTGCACTAGCAATAACATGTGTGGGGCAAGCATACACATGATTCAATTTTATTACTCATCAGGATCTCTACCAGCCCACCCTCAAATTTAAATTCTTTTAGGTAAGATTAGAGTAAATTAACCTATGAGACCTTGGGTGTGGTTAAATATATCAATTGAAAGGGTTTGACCTCCTAAGTCAAAAACTGTAATTAGAACTCCAATCGGTCAAGAGATGATGGAGCTATGAGCTAAAACTTTGTACTCAAGAAAAAATACAGAGCCATTTTATGAGCCACTATGCTGCAGCTAAAAAGTTTAAAAGCTCAGCCATCTCACAGTCTTCAATAAAAAAAATTTACTTTGTTCTATTAGTCAGGTAATTACTCAACCATTATAACACAACACACTAACTATCAACATCAATGTTTTCAAGTTTTTTAATAATACCATGATTTACCATATCAAAGGTTGTTTTTCACCTAAAAAAAAAATCACACTTTTTTTCCCTTAAAGTATTTGATAGTTTTACTAATAATCATATTGTAACTAATTCCACATCCTGGTCTGATCTTTCATCTGTTCTAATGAAGATCATTTATTAAAACAGTTTATTAATTAAATTATTTATTTACTTCAACAGTATTTTACCTCTGCAATACTTCTTAGAGTCTGACAATTTATTTACTGTTTCTGGCTATCATGTGTGTGTGTGGGAGGCATAATTCTAATGTCTGATAACTTATTTACAAAGGCTGTTCTTACTACTTTTGACAGTTTTGTAACTACTCACTATTGTACTAACTTATAGTAAGTTGGTTAATTATATAAATTACTACTTTATAGTTTATAAAACAATTATTTTTTGTACTATTAGGTTTTTTATATATATATATATATATATATATAAACAGACACATATACCTTATGTTTCTTTTCTTCTTTATTTCAATTTTCGTTTCTATTCTAAGGAGTAAAAATGTTGGTATATGTACACTACCAGGAACGGGCCCCCTTTCTTTCTCTCTCTTTTTTTAACATTTTCAAGAATTTATTAAAAAGAAGATCCTAAATTAGGACAGCTCATAAACCAGACAAAATCATAGCAGCAGCTGTTTTTATCTCACAGTATAAGCATAAAAGCGTTAATAAAGTAACAACAAACATCTATTAAATCTATAAAGTAACAAATACATACTAATTATTATTTCAATCGTTCTTAATGTATCAAGCGTCTATTTTATCATTAAATGAAGATATAGCCTAGAGATGCTTTGTGGGTTTTATGGCATAACCAGGTTTCAGCAGGCCTGTACACTACTGAAAGAGCAACAAGTTTATTTTTTCATATTATTACAATCTTGGTTATTATGTTTTGTTTTGTATTTACATTAATTGAGATAATTTTGCACTGTTAGCTTTTAGTGTATATGAATTTAGGATAACTAGTGATTATCCACTGCCAAGTTCTACTTCTTGTTGGTATTTTTATACATTAATTTATATCTATATATAAGTACTAGTTCCTTTTAAGTTTTCTCTATAAATTTGCTTGAGTTCTATCTTGTTTAAATAGAACTTTCATTTAAATTATATTTTCTTATTCAATAGATTTTAACCAGGTTATTCAGCTTAATCGGTTGATGTTTACACTGTCTAGTACTAGGTATACATTATCATAATGATTATAATAGGTGTCAACACTGAGAGGTGCCAAATCGGGACTTTTTGTGGAAGGACTGCAAGAGCGAGTAGCATCCCCTGGGGAAGGGGGGGGAGAGCATGCTCCACCAGAAAATTTAGAAAAAAAAGATGCACCTTCATGCATTCTGGGAACTTCAGACACTCATTTACACTTATAAAATTGAAATGATGTTTTCTTTTTTTTTCATTTACAGTGGGTTTATACACTAAGAGAATCACATTCATCTGCTAATATTTTTTATACATTTTTATTGTAAGAATTGAAAAATAAAAAATACACATATCCCGATTAGTGTTCTTTGTTGTATTCGTATGTTGCATTTTTGGTATCTTTCAATACCTACTTGCTGGACTTGTATTTACTCGCTGAAGAATCTGAGTTAAACTTGCAGTTTAAAAGGACACATAATGTGTCGTGCCCTAAAAGTAAATGAGTAAATCAGTCCTGTTCTCTGTTACGATCTTCCTCCCCATTGAAAATGCCCTTTCACTCGTTGCATTGGAATGTGGTACAACAAGTTGACAGCATAACGCAACAAAGTAAACAATGTCACTAAAAATGAGCAAAAAATTAACTTTAACCAGGTTGGCACTCTGTGAAATTGAATTTTGCGACTCTTCTTTTTGTAAGGTTGATATCGGGAGATCCTGATCGCGAAACTCCCGCTGAAATCGAGAAAGTTGACAGGCATGGATTATGTACCACGTATTGTTTATAAATGAACACATCTTATTACAGTTAAGTTACATTAACGTTAGAGTTTAGAAATTTAAACAGAAAAAAGGTACCTGAAAATTAAATGAAAATCGATTTCTTACCTATAGTTTTCACGCATTTTCCCTGAGAGGGCGACAACGACATCTTACAGAACGTTTTTAAATACATCATTATTTTTCCATGATCATTTTATATACAAAAATTCATATAATCAAAATATGAATTATATACTTAAAAAGCAATTATTTATAGTACAATTTTCGTTGAAGTAATGCAAATTATATTCCACAAATAAATTCACATTATTTTATTTTGTTTTATAACCTACTAAAACAAATAGGTTTTATTGCCCTTGCTTTGTTCAGCCGTAGTCTAATGGTTAGCGTAGTGGTTTCCAAACTTTATTTCATTGACGACCCTCTACTCTGATTTTGGCGACACTCCTATTGCCATATGCAATCTATCTATCTATCTATCTATCTATCTATATATATATATATTGTAGAGTTTTTTTTATCTTCTTCATTATTCTTCGTTTGGTGAAACTCTCGCGACACCCTTAGCAACTTGACAATTTAAAAACCACTGGATTAATACAATCAGAACATCGCTCGGGCTTTTCCGTCATACCTATTAAAAACACTTATCTACTTTGTCAATTTGAGCTAGAACAAACAAAACTGACTCAGCTGTACGAAAGTTGTGTTTGCCCCTGTTAACTGAACAAGTATTAACGCTGAGTGTTTTTACAGAAGCTTTTCGGAAGATGTTCCAATTGGTGGTTGGCGCGCTCGGAATTTGGGGCCTTTAAGAGTAGCTCAAGAGGTGACAGTGGAAATATGTGGAAGCAGGTTTTCTTGCTAAATCCACACATAGATAGCTACATATTGTATCACATATGCTACTCAGAGGAAAACCAGCTACATTAGGGAACATTACATCAGATAATTGTAGGTTCTCCTTTAGAACAGTTTTCCTGAGCATATATGGCTGTTTACCTGTTATTGATTGGTTCACACTGTGAAAAAATAGTGCTAGAAGCCCAAACAGCTAGGATTCCACAATCAGTTTTTCTACTCCTACTTATTTTCAAAATGGTCAACTGATATGATAAAGTCTAACACAAAAAGTCTCATAACACATATATAGATATACTTATATATATGAATCATATTTTTAATCATTAGCAAATCATGTAAGTTGCTGCAAATAAGGAATATATCATGACAAAATGCAATAAGTATTTACCTTATAACAACATTTTAAAACGTCATTGGTTTATCCATAAAAATAACTGCCATTTGATGCATACATATATTTACGTTAGTTCTCCGAAATATTTTATAACTCTGTAAAGATGAAATTTTTACCGAAGAATTAATTTCAGACCTCAGCTTGTGAATCAAGACTTTTAAATGGAAGCTTTGTTTATCATTGGCCCCAGCAAGGATCTTAAATAAATTAGAATGAATGACAATGTCACATTCTCATAGGACATGTTCTAATATATTTGATTTATTGGGGGTTCTGAAGTTCACATGTTCTTTTATATGTGTTAATGGTTTTCTTTTTGTAAAGCTAATACAGCTTTGCTGATAGCAAAGACAATTCTTATCTTATTCCTCAATTTCCATTAATACTGCAAACCTATTTCCTCTTTTGTTGATGTTAATAGAACGTTGAATAATAAGGAAAGAATCTAAAGCAACTAAGAAAAAAAACTGAACAACAGTATAGACATCTCAATGGAGATTTTAATTAAAGTTATTAAAAAGACAAGAAAGAAGATATTACATAAAAAGTCAAAGAAATAGAATAACATGAAGAAAAAAAAACAAGCTCAAAGCAGATGTATGAAATTCCAAGATTGCTAACATTTAGGTTTAGCCTAATATTAAGTGTGATAAAAATATAGATGAGAACATACCGAAAGAGGATGAAAATGGAAAGAGTTATGTGAGGGTTTGTTTTTATTTAAATCACAAGACAAAGAAATAGAAAAGTTAATGAATGAAATGAATTGTACCAATGCCTGGTGCAAAAAGAGCTAACACCATTAGATGAAGTAGGAAAGGTGATGGAACAACTGAAGAGGGAAATGATCAGACAATGATGAGATACCAATGGAGTAATTGAAAGCATCTGGAGAAAAAGAAATTGATATAATGCACAAACTTATAAATAGGATGTAGAAAAAGAACAAATCATATTAAGGTTGGAGGTGAGAAGTATTTTTGCCAATAATAAAACAGCGGACGTAAAAATTCTCATGAACTGTAAATTATTTGTTTAATTTTGCATACAAGCACAACCCTACTAAAATACTATGAGGGAAGAAATAACAAAAGAGCAAGCAAGTTTTGAGGAAGGAAAGAGAACCAGGGACCAATATTTGTACCTGACGATGATCGTAAGACAAATGTGAAAAATATGCAAAATGATCATACCCATGTGTCATAAATTACACCAAAGTATTTTGTTCTATCACTACAAGACAATGTGAGAGAAAACGAAAGGCTGGGGTTTCCCAGACATATTATTAATTTCGTTAGAAAATTATATAAAGGGCACGAGTTATTGGTAAGAACTGGCAGTGAGATTAAAATTGGAAAGGTAGTTTGTCAAGGATGTGTTTTGTCACCTAATCTTTTTAACGTATATGTGGAAGATATTCTGAGGGATTTGCTACAATAGTTTGGAGGAGGAATAAAACTGGGCTGGAGATTAATAATTAACTTGTGTTACGTGGTTGACACAATTCTGATGTTTGAGCAAAAAGAACACCTACGAAGCAGACATGAGATATTCGTATTTGAAAGCATTTGAATATTTTGGTAAGGAAAATTAAAGTATTCATATTCGAATTCAATGGTATAATATTCGTATTCGCTGAATGATTTAGTGAATACTTAATACTGTAAGAGTAAATGTCAATTTTTGTACTCATAAAATTTCTAGACTGTCATTATTACATGCGCAGCACATTAACTTTTCTTTCAGTACAAGCTTTCTTCTCTAGGGAAAATGAAGCTTGTACTGAAAGAGAAATTCACATTTTTCTGTACAAAAAACAACATAGTATATAAGTCATTTAATAGATGAAAATCTTGGATTTCTATTGGTTATAAGTAATATAGTCTTGAACGTCAGAGAGAACTGTTGACAAATCGCGAAAAAGAGGATGTGGGTGTGGCAAGAGGGGTCTAATTTTCTATTTGATGGCTGTGTAACTAAACAAAACTGAAGGCTACGAAAATTATGCTTTGGCTCAGCGATGACAGTATTATAATAAATAATATACGTTCAATTTCGTACTTCTTGGAGGAGCAGTAAATAAATTAGAGAAGAGGGGATGCCTAGAGAAACAAAAAGACATTTCTCCCACTAGGGGGAATTCAAAATTTTTTCTTAAATATTGCCTTATAAAATTAAGAACATACAATTATAGACTGTTAAAATATGGATCACTACCTACGATTTTATACCATGCTAACTGGTATAAAATGAACAAAAAGTAGTTTAATTAAATGTAACTAACTGAAAATATCGTGACATGCGCAGTAAAGGATGTCCGTGACTTTTTTACAGCGATTGATTATGTATCACTGTGACATTCACTTTACTAAACTACTCAGTAAATTGTTGTAATGTTACATTTGGAAAGCACTTATCACAAAAATGAGAAACGAATGGTCTACTTATTTATAATTAAAAAAGTTAACATGCAATAAATATCTAATTATACAATGTTATTTGTGTCACAGTACATAACTATATTCACGTAAAAATGGGGACAATATAAAAGTCTAGAAAACGATGTAAAGTATGAAAGTAGCTCAACCACGTTTTTACTAACAACATACAGTTAAGTAGATGTTTATCAGTTATTGTTTATTAAGCTGTTTATAACATTTTTGTGTGAAATTGTTGTAAGTTGATTATGTATTGTCACACTAATGTAATTTGTCACGTAAAAATATGAACTCTGTCATTTCCAGTGACAGGTACAAAGTGGTTAGCAGGTATATTACATGAATCTGGTGTTATTAAAGCACTAAACTCACATTCTGTCACCAAACATGCACGCCTTTCAGCCATAGGGGCGTTATAAAGTGACAATAAATCCCACTATTCGTTGTAGGAAAATAGCCTAAGAAATGGCTGTGGTAGTGTTGACCAATTGCTTTCACTCTAGGCTATCATTTATAAATTAGGGACACGAACAAAACCAGTATGAATTATTTATTGCTAAAGGAACTAGTTGAACAATTTAAAACCAGTTTTTCAATTATCTATATACTACTAAAACTCTGAGATTGTTTGTTTGCTTGTCTGTAATTAAATACGACAAAACGGCGCACAATACCGCTATATTTATAATGAAATGAGAATAGAAATGAGAATAGAAACAGAATAAAACAAGTTTCGTTGAAATCGGACCACAGGTTACAGAGTTAGCCCCGTTTTTCAGGTCACTTTTATGAAAATTTCTAGATGAATTTAGGTACGCTAGATGGCACCATATATCGGTTTATCTATCTATCTATTCGTTTTCCACCTGATGATTCACTTTAAAATATCTTCTATACAACAATAAATGCACAACAGAAATTAAATGATGAGATGAAAATGTGTTATAATGGCGCGTAGAAAGAACAACAATAAAATGGACCTACAATATTATTGACTATTTGTAAATAGTAACTATGGAGACGAGGTAATAAAATAAAAATCAAGTCGAGAACAACAACATAATTTTATAAACCAAAACCTCTAGCTGAGCATTGGCTATTATATTATTTCCCTGTCAATGTTCCCATCTTCATTAAAAGGCGTAAGATGACGAAAACAAGATCTTGAAGAATCTATCTATCTATCTATGTACTACTAAACTCTGAGATTGTTTGTTTGCTTATTTTCTCAGTCAAAAAATAATTCTCATTACCGTTCGCGCTCTTTACGAAACTTCATCGGGCCACGGGTTACCGAGTTAGTGCCGTTTTTTAGGTCACTTTTATGAAAATTTTTAGCATGAGTAATTTTACGTCACACTACCGTTCCCGCTCTTTACGAAACTTCTTCGTTCAAATCTATTTCCCTGTTTATGTTCCCATCTTCATTAAAATGCGTAAG